GAATGATGCCGGCATACAAGCAAATGGCGGAACAACATTGACAGATAGAGAGAGAGAGATAGAACGTTGGACGTAGTCTGTACTGTATTTATTATTATACTAGTTGTCTATCTGATCAACCCCCCCCCCCCCCATTCAGAATGTTTCTTTAGTTCTTTAAAACAAATTTAAAAAATTAAACAAAATTCGCTAAAGTATAATGTCCGACCAAGGAGTTATTTCCTTCGTCCGACGTATATTAGTTCTGTCAAAAAAGATTGTGTCATATTATTTTTTGCATAAGAGATGTTTTTATATCCAAACTCTTACTTTTAACAATTCTTATTTATTATGTCGAAACGTGCTTTCGGAAATCGTGGAACAGAAAACAGTATGAGAGAGATAAAGTATAATGAACGGTTTTTATAGAGTGAGAGAAAGAGAGAGAGAGAGAGAGTTGGGCGCATCGTTATATATTCTGTACTGTATTTATTAGTATGCTATTTTGGCTCTCCTTTCACCTCTCCCCCCTCTCCCCCCCCCCCCCCCCGTTCTGGATTCTTCTTGAGTTTCATTTGATCATGTTTACATATTTTCGCTACATTATATTGTCAGACGTAAATTATAACAGTCAATTTTGGCTGATAAACTATTTCAATTAAATTTGATGCAACAGAAACTTACATTGAAATAGTTTACTTTTTATATACTGTGTATTTTCTCATAAAATCGAGTATCAAAATAAAAAAAGAGTGTAGGAAGAAGGAAAAGAAGAAGAAGAAGGAGGAGGGATAAGAGTGACAAGGAAAAAAATAGATACGGAGGAGAAAAAAGAAGAACAAAATAAGTAGGTAGAAGAGGAAAAAAAGATAACGAAGAAAAACAACCTACAGTACGGAAGAGCTGAAAGAACTTAGAGCACGGCAGATTGCCAAATGATCTGCGCATGCGCTAAGTTCCTGCTCGTCGAAGCGACTGGCCAGGCTTTAGGTCGCTTCAACGCACACGCATTGTTCCGCGCGCTGAACAGTCGCACGGTATTGTACGGCAGCGAAGGAGTCGAGTTTTCGATTTTTAATCTCGTTTGTGGGGTGGCTATCAGGCTAAATAATTTCGGAAGGAACGGGGTATCATATACCCAACGACGTGTCTTCTGTTTTTCAGTGTTTGCCGCATATTCTTTTCCTGGCTTATTTCGCCAAAGATACAGGGCTAAACTAAGAGTTTGAGTTAGGATTGTAAGTGAGTTTTTGGTTTAGGTTCAAAGTCAATATTAGAATTACGTATATTGTTGGTCAAGATTAATGTTGTGAAATTGTGAAATAGGGTGAGTCAGAGAGAAGGAGAGACGGAGGGAAACAAAGATAAAGAAACAGGTATAGAGGGAGCGGTGTAGGGGAGGCAGAGGGTAGACAACACACACACGCACACACACACACACACACACCAAAACAAAACTCAGTTGACAACATAATGATGAAAAACAAGTTTTATATCTTCTATATATAGAGAGAGAGAGATAGAAAGAAAGACAGAGACAGAGAAAGAAAGAGAGATAGAGAGGGAATGGAGTGATGAGAAGAAAAAGAAGGTGAATAAGAAAAGGGTGGGCATGTAATTAAATGCAAAAGAGAAGAGGTGGCGGCAGAGGGAATAGAACAAGAGAGGGGAAGAGGAAGAAGGGAAACAGAGAGAGAGAGAGAAAGAGAGAAAGGGGAGAGGGTAAATGACAGAAGGAAGGGCAACTGAGAGCAGTAGGGGAGGAGGGAGAGGGGTAGGAGAGATGAGTGTGTATTTAAGGAGTGAATATCGGAATAAATGGAGTAGAAAGAGAAGATGTGGTGGAGGAAAGGGAGAACAAGACGGGAAGTGGGGGTCGAGCCTTATATAGTCTCATTCGCTTCAGCTAGGTGGAGACATCATGAGACATGCACTATATACCCATGACAAGTTATTGTATCTAAACTTTATAAACAACGAATGCTCTTTGTTACCTTCCAAAACACACTCATGTCAAAACGTTTTGAGTCACTGAACAGTGCTTGTTTCATTAATTAGCAAACACTGTTCTATGGAGAATGACGTTAAAAACACGTCTAGTTTACATCCATCTCCCAAGCGCGTAGCCAGGATTTCACTTTAGGGGGGGCGGTAGAAAGCACGCAAAGCGTGCGAATCACTTAAAGAGCGCGCGAAGCGCGCTCCCTAGGGGGGTGGGTGCAGGGAGGGGGGATTTTCCCCCCTCCCGCGCGAAGCGCGGAAGCTTTGAAAGAAGACGATTCGTTGTACCTTTCTCGACTCATAATCCTTGTCTGAATTCAGTCCCTCCCCTCTCTCGCGCGAAGCTTTGATGTTTCATTAAATTATTAGAGAAAGAAGACGATTCGTTGTACCTCTCTCGACTCTTAATCCTTATCTGTATTCAGTCCCTCCCCTTTCTTACGCGAAGCTTTGACGTTTCATTAAATTATTAGAGAAAGAAGACGATTCGTTGTACCTTTCCCGACTCATATTTATTAATTTAAACTCAGTTTCCCCCTTCCCGCGCAGCGCGGAAGCTTTGACGATTCATTGTACCGTTCTCGACTCATTTTCCCCTTTTCTTCCTACGTCCTCTTTCTTTTTTTTCTTCTCTCTCTCTCTCTCTCTCTTTTTTTTGGCCGGCGTTTTTTTTTTTTTTGGGGGGGGGGGGGGGGGGGCGACCGCCCCCACCGCCCCCCCTGGCTACGCGCCTGCCATCTCCAATGATACATGTATGTCCAAAGTCCGAATAAGAATCAATATTTACATGTTGTAAATGAGCTTTACATGGCACCATTGTAAAGCAGGTCTTGTGGCCCTGAGTGGGGCTACCCTGTGTTTTTAAAGAAGACTGAATAAAGAAATAAAATATATAAATTGGCAGCTGTAGGAGGCTGGAAACGTAATCGCTAAGTGGGAGAGATGTAATGTGCATGTACAGTTACTGTGCATACATGCATGCAGGGGCGGCGGTGCGTCTTTCAAAGTTTGGGGCGGGGCACCAGCAAAAAAGGCACTCTCTGGGGAAAGGGGCACCTACAAAGGGAAACCTCAAAGCGAAATATACAATTTTTAGACATTGGTATATACCTCTACATTGTGATTACATATTATCAGGGATGATTTCAAAGTTTCTTTCACTCTTTACATGGTCCATGCTACGACTTAAGCATTATACTTTGCAGTTGGGTGTGATGGTTAGAATATTGATTTGCGAGCGAGCGAAGCCAGCGAGCATAAATTTGAAAATTTGTGAGGCCGGGCCGCAGAGCGTAACAATACATCTTATAAAGAGGGAAAACAACCCTGATGGGGTTTTAAGCACAATCTAACCGTGAAAGACTGACAAGATCTTTAATAAGAAACAAAATAATATCAATTTTTAAATGTAAGCGAGCTTAGCGAGCGAGCTTCGGGTGAAAAAAGGGTTGCTCTTAGTTTCTTTGAACTAAGAGCAAGTTCAATGTTGAAAGGAAAAGGGGGCACATATCCAAAGGAAAAAAGACACTTATTAGCAAAGAAAAAGAGCACATGTCAAAGTAAAAAGGGGAATTACCAGAGGTAAAAATGGGGCACTTCTCGCACCTAATAAGGAGCACTCACCAAAGATGAAAAAGGCACTAAAACGTAAAAGGGGCACTTAATTATTGCAAAGGCGGAAAAGGTGCAATTATCAGATTGAAAATGGCACTAATTAGAAGGGGCACATGTCAAAAAACGGGCATTTATCAGCGATAAAAAGGGACACTTATTATATAGTTAAAGAGGGCAAATCGCAAATTTGACTAAAGACACTCATCGTAGATAAAAAGGAGCACTTATATGAATGAAAAAAGGGCATACAAAGGAAATGAGGCACTTGCAATTGTCACAATTTTGAAGAACACCTTTCAGATTTGAAAAGAGACTAATATAAGAGGTGAAGAGGCACTTATCAGAGATGGTAAGGGACACTTTTTGTACCTAGCAAGGGGCCACTAATCTGAGATCAAAAGGGACACTTGAGAGAATGCAAAGGGGCACTTCTTACAAAGGAAAATAGGCACTTGTCAAGGAAAAGGGGCACCTATGATATTTTAAAAGAGGTGTCAGAAGGGGCATTTATGAGAAAGGGAAGGGGCTCTTATTAAAATATAAAAGGGGCATTTTTTATCAGAAGGAAAAGGGGCACTTATTAGACTGGAAAAGGGGGAATTTGTCGAAATAAAAAGGGCATTTATTAGAGATGAGAAGTGGCACTCATCAAAGATGAAAAGGAGCACTTATCAGAAGGGAAGGGGTACTTATTACAAAAAAAGGGCACTTTTAAAAAATAAAATGGGCACCTCTCAGATTTGAATAGGACAATTATCATCGGTGAAGGGGGCAGTTAGGAGAGGTGGTAACAGGCAATATAAGAACGGGCACTTATTAGAAATAAGAAAGGGCACGTATCTGAAGTAAAAGAGGGCACATATCCTAAGTATAAAAAGGGCACTTAAGGGGTACCTGAAAGAGTGGGGGGGGGCACTGTGCCCTCCCCATGCCCCCGGCTCCACCGGCTATGCTTTATATGTACGTTGACATGCAAGAGCTAGCTAGGCTGTATAATCACAATTAACTCATATCCTGCCATGAGACTGCTAGCGCGCTATTGTTATAGTGCTCTGTGCACGCGAGAGCGCTATCGATTGAATGCCACGTTCATGCTAGCGAGCCACCGCTACTCTGCTTTGTGCACGCAATGGCGCATATGTAATAACAGTCATTGTTCATGCCCATTGCACCGTGCTGAGTGCTTTTGCAGCACTATTGAAAGTACCATCGCGTGCATCAGATTATCGGCTTTGGATTACGCGTCTTTGTATACAACAGTCAGATTGGATTTTCTCGAGTAATTTAGTGATTTGTGATTTGTTTTTGTAAAGATTTAAATAACACGCGCTTGAACCAACCTTAAAATTAACTTGGCACACAGGAGATTTGTGGCTGGCACAATAGGGATTAGCACTGTGGCACTGGGTGCATTGTATGGGTGGCAGCTTGACTGTTATTACATATGCGCCCTTGCGTGCACAAAGCAGAGTAGCGGTGGCTCGCTAGCATGAACGTGGCATTCAATCGATAGCGCTCTCGCGTGCACAGAGCACTATAACAATAGCTATAAACGACCGTACATTATGGGCGCATGTACGAGGATGGAAACTTACTCAGACTTGTTGAAAGATCGTCTAGCATCAAACTGGGGATGGATGGTGGTGATGATGTCATGGATTCTGTTTATCGTCATATTCGGCATTATGTATTCATATGGGATTCTATTCGTCGAGTCTCAGGCTGAGTTTGAGAGCTCTGCGACACTCACGGGTAAGGTTTTCTTCTTTCCTTTTATTCTTCTTTTAGTATATAGTAGTAGTTAACAGTATTGTATTGTTATTACTATTATCGTTATTATTATTATTATGATAATTATTATTATTATTATTATCATTATTATTATTATTATCATTTTCATTATTATTTGTTATTATTAATGCTATTATTATCATTATCGTTATTTAACCTAGATCTTATATGCAACTATAGAGGCGGGTCTAATTAAGCCAAGGACCTTACACATTACAGAGGTGATGTCAACGTAATAAAATACGCATATAAAGTTGGGGATACCCACAGATTACACTAGCCCTACCAGAACCTCCTGCTTGATCTTACGGCCCTGCTCTCCGGCCCGTCCGAAAGGCAGGTCAGGCCGGCCGGCTTTTATTATACTCGCAAGGTACCACTTGACCAGTCCCAATCACCCTTTATAGCATACAGGTGCATGTGTTCATTCAGTATTGTCAATATTTTGCGTAAATGATGCGCTGTCCCTACTCTGTAACATTTTTTAGCATTTGTTTACTTAAACATGTTTTTGTCCACACACAATTCCAAACACATACACTAACATATACGTGCTTAGGTAATAGTAGTCAAACAATTACAACACAGGTAAATTAGCACTTATTGTTAAACAATCAGTTTATCCGCTTGTTTAACAAACAGTTTTGTCTCTTAGTCTTACTGTACGTTAGATATTGAATGGTGTATCCGTTGTGAGATTGGTCAAGATAAGTGAGCATTTGTAGACACGCTACTGCTAACAGTTCACAAGCACTATTTTCAGAAGATATAGGCTAAATCGTTTGAGTAAAAGCACATACGAATAGGTCAACTGTTGTAAAATTGTAGGATGGCAATCTTTTGAACGGTGCTTAGAACTATTCAATTCAGAACTTTATTTCAGACTCAGCTGCACAAGGCAGAGGTAAACAAAAACATATGCTACATATAGATAGGGGAAAGAGCTGAGTATGAACACGATGAGTATAATCAGGCGCGGATCCACGGGCCGATTCTACCGGCCCGCCCCCCCCCCCCAGCCTCCCAAACCGGTAAAAAAAAGGATAGTAATTACGTAAATTTAACCTTTAATTTTTTTTTAGACGCCCCCCCCCCCCCTGACCTGCCAGTGACACAAGTGCGGCATCAAAATATTTGTGCTTCTCTGACCGTACGCAAATGCCTAAAACCTCTGAGCTTCCTGGGGCTCCGCCCACTGAACCCCCACACTAATTTACGCTCGCTACCCTCTACGTGATCGTAAATACTTTAGCCCCCCCCCCCCCCCCCCACTTTGATAAACGTTCCGCGGGGCCTGTGTATATAATATATACGCATACAACACTGATAGCTAATAGATGTCAGTGGAATGTAAATCAAGATAAGTTAGGAAGTGATCACATCGCATAGAAATGCAAATCAATCTACATCCTGTAGAAGAAATACATGAAAGAGAATATACAAAACGAAACGAACCATATCTTAGTTACAAAAAAGCAGACTGGAAAGCATTTGAAACAATTATGCGACATAGAACTATCCAATATAACTCCAAATGAAAACACAGAAGAATACTACAACGAATTCATAAAAGTCACAAAGAAAATTATTAAGGAAACCATACCAACAGTAACTAAAAACCATAAACCACACAATCCATGGTGGAATGAAGACTGCCAAAAGAGAATTAAAGAACGAAACAAAGCCAAAAATAAAGCCATCAAATACATGACGAAAGATTATCTCTACGAATACCTAAATAAGAAAGCCCTTACACAGAAAACAATAAGAGAAGCAAAAAGACAACATTGGAACAAATACTGCTCCAGGCTTTTTAAATTCACTCCGACTTCAGAAATTTGGAAAATGATAAAAAGATACAACAATATCTTACCAAAAAAAGAATGCTTACCAACACTTAAAGAAATAGATATAGAATATATTACCGATCAGGAAAAGGTCAATAAGATAGCTGAAGATTAAAACATTACTGATGCTATATCGATCTTTAATAAGATCAATGCTAGACTACGGGTAACGGGATAACTCTCACTGTGGAATACAGGGAAACTAAATAGCGGACCTTCGCGCAAAACAAGCCCTAACTGAAGAGATACAAATAAATAACAAGTTATGTTTGTCTGAAATGAAAACAGTATTGAAAATAGAACTATACAAGAGTTGGGAAGAAAAATGGCAAAATTACAATAAAACAAACGTAAGACCTTTCAAACCAACAATTCAACATAACTTTGAGAGCACCCTTTTTAGAGACTGCGAAGTCATAATTCGCAGGCTCAGACTTTGCGACACAGGACTAAACGCAGACCCCTCAAAAATATGGGTATCCCAAACAACCCAACCTGGCCAAGCAAACAAAAATTGTAAATACTGTAACACCCCTGAAAGAATAACACACTATTTGATGGAATGTCCAAATTATACAATAGAAAGAGCAATGCTGATAATGGAAAGTGATATAACGAGCCCAAACGAAATAATGCAACTCCTAAAATCAACAGAAAGTGCGGCCCAGAGAGCACTGATCCGCTTCGTTCGTAGAACGAGGCGTTTTGAGTGTTCCTAATATTTATTTTTTATTTTTTATTTTTTTTGCACATCGCACGACAACCAAATGCCCTAAGATGTTGATACCTACTTTGATAGAAAAATAAGGTTTTACAAAATGGAAATCTGGATATCTGGATATCTACCCCAGAATCCTCTCACCAGCACCAGAGTTGCCTAGGCCAATGATGACCGAGAAGATTGCGGAATATACCGCGCCGGTCTGGTAGGACGGTGCCTATTGCGGTGAGAAGTTTTCATGGACCAGTAGATCTGAGATTAGATTATCAAAAAAAAAGAGAAGAGTATGAATTTACAAATAGTACCCCCCCCCCCCCCAAAAAAAAAAAAAAAAAAAAAAAAAAAAGATGAAAGGCGTAAATATTCTAAAAAAAGAATGAAACGCCGATAATACCAAACAACAACAACAACAACTGATCTTTATGATGTCTTTAACGTGACATATCTTCTTCTCCACTTGCAAACGAGAAAGAAAACAAGGTAAAAGGGAATTAGCGACAACTAAAGATTGTGATTCAAATTCATGCAAATGTTTGGTTGAATAAGCACTGCTATTCACCAGAATCTTCTTTGTAAAAACAACGTTTACAAATCTCAGCCATGCTGACTGAGTTGAGACGTTCCATTCAATTAAAAAAACTCATTAAAGAATACACTTCTCCTAATCTGAAGGTGATCTTACAACACAGTGGCAGGATTGCATGGCTGAGATTTGTAAAAGTCCTTTTTACAAAGAAGATTCTGGTGAAAAGCATTGCTTATTCAAAAAAAATACTTGCATCAATTTGAATCACTATGATCATTTTGTCGCATGATCCTTTTAATAAATAACCTTGTTTTCTTTTTTATTTGCAGGGGAGAAGAAGCTATGCAACATAAGAAATCAGTTGTATTAAGTGTATATACATATTATAACAGAACGAAATGTTGATTATCAGAATGTCATTTTGGAATACCTCTATATAAATACCCGATCTTATTGTGCTGATACCACGTTGTCTTTAGCCCGTATCAGTATTAGTATGAGCCAATATAAAGTTATCATTCTTTATTCAGTTCAGTATAATGCTTTTCCTCAAAAATAGTTTCGCTATTTTTTTTTAGGGTTGAGACGCTGAGAAAAAAATAAATTAGTGGTCCTCCTCTCCAGCATCCCCCTCCCCTCCCCCACACCCCGCTCATTCCCCGTTCGCCGGCTGGCTGATTCGCCGCTAAATATTTTCTCAAGATTTCAGCCCCCCCCCCCCCTCTTGCCGCCGGCTGGATCCGCCCCTGGCAGCAGTAAATAGTGAAACCTGCTCCCCCCCCCCCGTCCTCTTTCTCTCTTAGTATTGTTGTTCCTTTCCTTTTTCTTCCAATTTAAATCAAGGTTGGGCAGGGTCAATTCCCATAGGGCTCACTGTTCTCCTCGCCCCGCCCATGAACGTTATCATCGACCGTTTCGGCTACCGTCCCGTTGCCGTCATGTCTCTCGTCATCGCATCAGCAGGGGTAGTGGCGACGTCTTTCGTACCCAACATGCTTCTCGTCTACGTCACATACAGCTTGATGTTTGGATGTGGGTCTGGAGCTATTTTCCTTGTCGTCATGAGTCTTGTCGTACATTACTTCCCATCAAAGAACTGTGTAAGAGCCTTGGCAGTCACTCTCAGTGGCACTAGCATTGGTACGTATGAACACCTTTATTATATTAATAACCTATATAGCCCAGGAGAATTAGGATTTCTTTAGAAGAAAGCAATTTCTAATCGTCAAAATGCTGGCGCCCCGTTCTGAATCGTCGGAAAGGGAAGAATTGAATAGACTAGTTCGCAATTTAATAGTTCATGGTTAAAATGACCCGGAATATCCACTAATGTTTGAAACATTGAGAAGTCCAACTCTATGTATTTTAGAATAACTACTACCAAAGTTATGGATGTGCTTCATGAATACCATTTTGCCTGCCCTCTTGAGAATAATACTTCCACCTGTGTTTCATATAATGTTCCGTCGGTGCATGAATGAAAAATGATTACGTAACCTTCATGGGGGCACCTATTCAGTAATCGTCTCGGTGGATTTACTATTCGGAACAACATATTAATGGCGCGTATCGATCTCCCCATGCGCAGATTGTATCTACGAAGTGGCGTATTGTTAGGGTGGGAAGTAGTTAGGAAATATCAAATCAAGCGATTTTATTTGTTCAAAGAGAATTGAATTCAATGAAAGTTGGGCACAAGGAGTGTTGGCTCAGTCAGTAGAGCGTCCGCCTCACAACCGGGAGGTCGTGGGTTCGAATCCCGGCCGCGTCATACCAAAAGACGTTAAAAGATGGGAGTTGTTGCTACCTTGTTAGGCGTTCAACAATAAGGGATAGAGCAACGTCGATCTGGCGCTGCTCAGTGGCTGCCGGGCTCACGATCAATTGGGCAAAAAGAATTTCCGTTTCGGTTTAATAAAATTTGGAGTGGACTATTAGGCTATTATTATTTTTTTATTTTTTATTAAGGATTATTGATTAGGCTTATCGATACTAAAATGTCAAATAATTGCACGAACTTAAAGATAAAGTTGAGTTCTGGTCATGTGATTGCATTATGAAAGAAACTGTGTAGAAGCGTTTGGTAAAGGGTGCTGGTCATGTAGCACATAAGTATTGTTGTATTCTATGAGGTTTTGGAATCGTTACATAGTTTTCTTTTTTATTAAATGACCCAGTGTTGCTATAAGCCACTTTACACAGAATTATATATGAGACGACACAAACATGTGGCATGAAAGTATGGTACACAACCGAGCTCTTGCTGATAGATGCACAGATGAACTTGTCATATTTTAAATATTTGAAGAGCCATCGTTTTCAGGGGACGTTTATCTTTTATAAGATAATCTTTTGTACTATTGTTACAAGAATGAACAAGCTCACAAATTATTCTTCACATTTCCCAGAACTCAACCTTCTCTTTAACTTTGTATTAGACTTTGGATTATAATTTTTCTCGTTGGTAGAAGTCAAAACACAATAACAAGTAAAAGAAATATCCATTAATTGTTATCATATTCCCAGGTATGCTGTCCTTTGCACCATTTTTAAGATTACTCATTGATCGATTCGGATGGAGAACCACCCTTCGGATTATTGGCTCATTGTACTTCATCTTGGGCATCCCTTGCGTTGCAAGCTTCGTACCATCCTCACCTGATATAGCGCCCTCTGTAAAGGGCCAACAGACTGATGGAGATGGTCGTAGAATGAAGGATATTCAGACCTCGGTAGAAACACACGATGATTGTTCAAATCAGGATTCATCCACGCATAATAACGCAGGCGATAGTACTGATGAAAAGCATGGAGTCGTAGAAAAGTATAGTCCTAAAAAAGTTAGCGTGGATGGAGAAAAACCTGAAGATAGGCCTGTTATTTCAAGTAGTACTCAGCACTCGTTGTATGAAGAGGATACATCCATGATGCAACGGCTGCGTCAAGCTATGACTTATCCAGAGCTATCGTTCATCAGTGTAGCTGTTATCATTAATGGGCTTGCAGATTGCTTCTATTACGTTAACATGGTGAGACATACACAAATACATACTAGCATGTCTAGCGCTATAAAATAGGAGACGGATTTTGTTTCTTCATAAGAATAATTTACTTCTTGGTGGAAAAAAACATAAGATCTTGATATATCGTAGTAGTGATCGAGAGATATCCACTATTAGACTGTTCTTTTAACTTTTTAGAAGAGTTTTGCTCAATATAATTATGTTCTCATGGGCTTAAACATAATGTCCATACATGAAATCTTCCTAAGGAAAACAACGTTCTTTCAGAAATAAATATCCATATCAGACAGCATTATAATGTGTTCTTCTTTAAGGTTAGCTACATGGTATCTGTAGGGTTCACGGAGACGGATGGGGCACGTATCTTATCCGTCATTGGAGCGTCAACCGCCGTCGGTAAAATCACTCTCTCGTTTGTCAGTGAATGGCTCCCATTTCCGGTCTATTACGTCATGCTTATCGCCTCTGTGGTGAGCTGCGTAGTGATGTGCTGTTTTCTTGTTATCAAAAACCTCGCACTTATGTTCTGCCTAGCGGCTGGTAAGGAGTTCTTATTTGTAAAAGTCTTTCATAGGTTATTTTAGTCCCTTTTCCTCTCTTTGCCTCATCAAAGGATTGATTTGGTATATATGGTTTACATTCAAAGATACAATGTTATTTGAGTCTTAACACGCGTTAGACAGAGATTGCAGGGGTCTTAACGCGCCATGTAAGAATGAAATCTTAAGAATGTGCCGATTCCAAGATGGCATTAAAATATTGGCGCGTTCGCTAATGATGTATGTAGCTAGTGGTTCCAAACCTCAAAGTAAACAACTATTGAACTCTAGTTTTCAGGACTCACCCTTAATAATAATACAATATATAAATATATATATATGAAGGTAGATCGAGTTTCCAAGTTTCCATCTGTCCAAATAGCAAATTATTAGAGGGCATACACTATGTCATACAAATATTTTGAGAAAATTAAAATAGCTTTTGTGTCCATCTGTCATGCACTTTCTTCTAACATAATTGATGATAACTCTCTTTCCTTTCAATAGTTATCGGTGGAGTAATGATAAGTACAACTGCAGTGGTGACTTATTCTATTCCTAGTACTTTTTTTGGTCCTGAACGCTCTCAACAGACCTGGCCTGTAATTCTTTTCTGCAATGGCGTCGGTCTAATGTGTGGCTCACTAGTCGGTAGGTTGAATGAGTGATTCCATAAATTCTCCGTCGACATTTTTGTCAAGATTACTTGACCAATTTAGTTTATTACAACCCTGGTCCTAGAAAACTTGGACCTCAGAATAACTCCCTTCGTTAAGCCCGATTTTAAGCAAAGGTCTATCACCCAATGTCGGGGTTTTAAGTACAGAATGCGCCGCATGATTAAGGTTGTGATTGGAGTTTCGGTGAAAGATGAAAACTAGTTTAGGTTTAGTGCTAGGGTTGGGATTAGGTTGAAATTGGGACCTTGGCTTGTCTTAGAAGTTGAGCAATAATCGTGATATGCAGAACCTTAAAATGAATTATTTAAATAAATAGTAACCAAATTTAAGGAATGTCCAGCAAATTTTCTTGTACAATGTTGTATTTGTAAACGTTTGCTTCGACCCATTTGGAGATAACTGTAAATCCGAGTGACGGAATATCACCTCGTAAGTACAAATTTATTCAGAAGTAGAAGCGCTTGACACCAACTGTTGTCAAGTGTGATATCAATTGTGGTCAAAAATCTAAGACAAGATTATGTTAGTTGCTGTTTGTAAGTGTCGGCTTGCATGGTGATGTAGATATACAGTAGACTTGCGGGTGCACCATGTGTGAGAGAGAGAGAGGGGGGGTTGAGGAGTCCTGAAAAGGCCTCTGACTCGGTAATATTTCTTGGGGGTGTGTAGTCCTGAAAATGACTGTTTGTTATCTTTCACATCTACATATTCTGAGATTTTCATGGTCGCAGCTACCATTATACGGCCGTAGGCGCTATTTGAAATTCATCAAAATTTACCGGGAGCACCGGTAAATTTTTATATTCAATTTTTCTCGAAAGCAGAAGTGTTTTAGAGACTAATTTTTCTAGTGCTTATAATACATCCACAGGGGCATCCAAATATATCCAAATTGTAAAGAATCACTATCCACCCAATTTTCAAAATTTCCCATAACTTTGTATTACATTTAAGAAAGATTACCGAGTCAGAGTCCTTTTCAGGACTCCGCAACCCTCTCTCTCTCTCTCACATGGTGCACCCGCAATCCTACTGTATATAAGATTATGTTAGTTGTAGAAAATTGCTTCTGGGAATTAAATTTACTGTGTTAAGTAATCATGGCATTAGCAATAGGTATTGCAGCAGCAGCAGTAGTAGTAGTAGTAGTACTATAAATAATTGTAATGATCATGATGATAATATTAATTATTATCATTACGTATCGCCCACCCGGAGAGGGGCGCAGTTCTTGAAAAGGAAGACATTATAAAGAAGGTAATGGCTAATTGCTAACTCATACCCTACCTGACATATAGCACTTATGCGTGTCATGCACTCTCTCCACACCGAGGGGGTTAATGTTCTCTTGCATATGTGGCCAGTGGAAAGTTGTTGCTTGGGGGAGTAGGGATTATTCACCTTGATAAGAAGTTGTGTTCATACGGCTCGCACTGCCATATCCTGACAACACACTAGTATTGTACACATGGTGCGTCCACAATGGTGCGTCCACACTCCCTGTTACCATGGTACAGGAAGTTAAAGTTAATATAGACTTGAACAACTCATTTCGCTATTACAACTGTAACTGATTAAAACGAGAATATGTAACAATGTAATTTGGCGTAATACATAGTGACTGGCACATGTCCTTGGCTAAGAATATACATGTATATGCATGTAAGCAAAATGCAATATACTGACAGCAATGAAGTATTGTTTTCTCGAAACTTACTTAAATGTTGTTTAAAACAAACAACATTAAAATCAATTTCACAAACTCGACAATAATTTCCTATCATTACTACAAATGATAACAATGTTATCATCAATTAAATTATCTCTTCCTATTACATATATTTCCACCCATAGTCAAAATATCATATATATATATATATATATATATATATTTTACTAAAGGCGTCATTAGAGGGACATTTGGAGTGAAAAAATGAGTCATTAAGTAGACATTGTCATTAGAAGGACAATATGGTGTCCTCTTAACGTTTTTTATATATATATAGAGAGAGAGAGAGAGAGAGAGACAAAGACCATCATTATATGATTATAGAAAAAGAGGAGCCATTCCTGGGGGGTGTTTCACAAAGACTTTTTCCAATAACAAATAACAAAAATCAGTGACCAATCTGCTGATAACCAATCAGAAGCAAATATTTCAGTAGCTTATAACACAAATTGTCATTTGTCACTGATGACAAGTTTTGTGTAACGCCCCTGGTATTTAGTTGTTGAATGAGGGCACTCTCGCAGAAGGGGGACTAACAGGGAGGACGATGGAGCTAGATATAACCATGTCATTATTACATGTAGGCCTAAGTCAAAGATACCACCAAAAATTGGGGGGGGGGGAATTCTGTGGGGCTCCGCACCAATAATAATTGTAACATTTGTAATAATAATAATAATAATAGTAAAAAAATTAATAATAATAATAATAATTATAATTACAATAATAATAAAAAGAAATCTGCAGTAAAGATGATTAAGAGTGGTGATGATGGCATTTATATTTTCTGTAACATTCTTTCTCACTAGGCCAGTCTATTGATCGTACTGGATCATACAGAAGTGCCATCTGGACTTTTATTGGATTGTACATTGTCGTTTGCTTACTTCTCATCGCAGCACCCCTCTACCAAAGGACATTTGCTCCCAAACGTTACGTCGTACAAGAGTTACATCGAGTAAAGCGCTTGGATATAAAGAAGAAGGGCGTTGAACAGGAGGATACCAGTGAAAAGTTTGCGGACATCTCAAAATTCAGTGGGACAAATTATGAAGTGGTATATGAACGCGTGTCAACGGTATAATAAGTGGCCTATATTTGTGTGCGCGACACCAATGGCAGAGAAGCCCTTTACCTGATACGCACGCCCACTTCCTTGCTTGATACCTACACCAACCAAGAGCATACTGACTCATGACATTATACCAACTACCAAATATATGGCTTTCCAGTACTGCTCGTATCTATTATTTCTCTTCGTTGAATCCTCTTATATGTCATTAATGTTTTTCCCCACTCTTTAAACCTATTTGTTAGTACATGTACATTGCTATTGAAGCAATATTAATAATTTTCACAAAACCTTCCCCTCAGAAGGGCAACAACTTATTTTTGAAATTTGCGTTGAGATAATTATTGTCGTACAAAAGGTAATAGCAGAAAGTGAATGAAATCTTCCATCACCACACACATGTGGGATGGGAGCATCCATAAATGTGAATACATTTACTTGATTTACGACTTTGCATAGCTGAATAATTCACGTTATACAAGAAATGGCGATGCCCATTGTTGTGCTGAGTAACTGTACATTATGCTAAGAATATCTTACTTTACATCTCTCCCAAACATTTTGTTGTGGAACCTTGTAGATTAGTGATTGTAAACGTTATACATAGTAGATTTTGTAATTGTTATTTTTAGAGTGTTATGCACTTAGAGAGCATATCATTATTTTGTTTTTCTTTTTAAATGTAAAGCGCTTTCAGCATGTTAATGTAAAGGCGCTATATAAATATCAATATGTATGTATTTATGTAGACAATGTAATTTTTTTTAATCACTTCTAATGTTTATTGTGTGAATATTTTTGTTATGTCTCTATGTACAAAATTCGCCTTAATAAACAAAAGAAAAAGACATGCTTATGCAGAAAATTATTAGAGTTTAAAACTGGAAACTTGAAATTTGATTACGTGTGCACTGTTGCTCATAAAGTTAGAATATTTATTTTTACTCCAATTTATGGAATTATTTTGACAATGATTTATTCCTAATAGATCTAGATAATAGTATACATTCTCAGATTTTATTGAATAATAATTTACAAGTGTTTGTTGCACGAGTCACAAAAGGGTTTTCGTCCAAAAATATATTGTAATAAATCAAGGCAGATTTCCTTTCATAATTCGATTGAAAAATAAAGATTTTGTTTCCAGTGCACTCTACTATTAATTCTTCTATAAGGTATATGTCTCCCTCTCATGTTGGAATTACGTTTTGGATTTCTATAATAATTTTAATAATTATGATGGCATACAGAGAAACAAAATACATAGGTGAGAGAGGGTGAGCGTTGAAGGGAAAGACCAGTGTTGGAAACGCCCCGATTTAAAAAAAAATGAAATGAAAGCTTTTATTACCAATCATGTGAAAGAATATGTTTTGACTAATACATGATGATAATAATTTTGTCGGGAAACGGCCTACTATTAATATATTTGGTAAATTAGTTTATTTATTGGGCTGTGATAGATATAACGCACTTGTCACGCACGTGTGCGTTGTCCTATGTACATCTTTCTGTGTACGGTGCTTGTAACTTTACCAAGACCAAATTACCAAATTCTTATCATGTTGATGATTCCAGAACCTTGCAGCACACACCCATATTTATATGCTAAATGATCAACCTTTTCTGATCGATTCCACAACGTTTCTTTCACAATGCAATCGCATGACCAGAACTGATCTTTATCTTCAAAGAGAGAGGGAGAGAGACATACAGACAGACAGAGAGACAGAGAGACAGGCAGGCAGACAGAAGCAATTATTTGTGTGCACTCAATATTACTACCTCCACAAGTGGAGTGGTCTATATTATGGCATAATCTTCAAAGCGATTCGTCAGTATGGCGTTACTTAGCAACAAGAATGCATTTAATTCATAAGGTATTTAGCAGGTGAACGGAGTTATTAATCAATCAGAAGGGAATGGGAGAGGGGTCCTTTGGGTTGGAAAATACTTTGAAAGATAACGCAGTTTATGTTTTGGTAACAAAGTAAAATATAATGTATTCGCAACAATCGTACGATGATGAATGGTTTGATAAAAAAGGGTAAAAAAGGGTAAACTGAAAGTGAAAGAAATGTAGAACTATTTTCGACAGGGTGATTACGGGAGCTCAGGGGAGGATCTAGAGGGTAAGGGGGTTTAACCCCACACCCCCCCCCCCTTGGGCTTGCACAAAAAAGTTTTTTTTTATTTTTTTTTTAATGTCAGGGCAATTCTATTTTAGTGCTTTCTACCCCCCCCCCAAAAAAAAAAAAATAAAAAAAAAAAAAATATTGGATGGCACTTTTTTAAAACTTCTGGTGGGGGGGGGGGGGGCGAATTGAAAACAAAAAAAATAAGTGCCCACTACCCCCCCCCCCCTGAGCGAAATATTGGTTGGCACGATTTTTGAAAATCCTTGATCCGCCACTGGGTCAACAACCCCCCCCCCCCCCCCCCCCCCTTGGTAAAAATCTAGATCCGCCCTTGGTGCTTATAAGAACATGATGACAAGTGAGGAACCCTATATTAAAGGTAATACAAAGTTTTGGTATGGGGTCATGAATTTGGTCCAAATGAACATATTGGAAGCATATGCGATCCTACAATATTCAGTGATCATTGTCGCGGTTGAAATCGAGTCTAAAGTTATGAAATTGTAAATAATAAAACTCTTTATGTTGTATAGCTCCCTTTCAAGGTCAAGATATTAATAAGACTAAAATGACTAAAATCGACCGATTAGCTATTCCCGTTTGGAAATTATATATCACAACTACATATTCTGAAATTTTCATGGTCGCAGCTACCATTGTACGGTCGTGGGCGCTATTTGAAATATATCAAAATTTACCGGGAGCACCGGTAAATTTTTATATTCAATTTTTCTCGAAAGCAGAAGTGTTTTAGGGTCTAAATTTTCTAGTGCTTAATACATCCACAAGGGCATCCAAATATATAAAAATTGTAAAAAATTACTTTCCACCCGATTTTTAAAATTTCCCAAAACTTTTTATTACCTTTAAGTAAGGAAAGGAGAGGAGAATAATGCCTCAATTTATTTAAGGAAAACGTAAGCAAAATGTCATATCTATAAACGAATGAATATTCTCTACATTAACGAAAGACAAAAATAATCAACTCACGTAACAATCGCCAGCTTATTGAAATAGCGAAATGAAATGTTAAACAATTAAAAAAGAAAAGAAAAATTTTCTCAATTCAATTTCAAATTGGCAGAAGAGCTAATGCCATCAATGCACGCGTTCCTATATGTTAATCTGTTTAAATTTAAAAGTGTATCGCATTTTCTTCCTTAAGCAGAGCTCAACAATATTTTGTTTACATTATCTGTGCTAAATGTAGTAGTTAGTACTGGAAGGCCTACATTTTCCAGGTGTCATTTGAATATTCCCAGCCGCATTTTACACGTACGCTACGAAAAAAAACATAATTTTGAATATTCTCAGCTGCTTTTTACATAAACACTACGAAATCAAACATAATTTTGAATATCCCCAGCTGCTTTTTACATTAACTCTACGAAATCAAACATAATTTTGAATATTCCCAGCTGCATTTTACACGTACGCTACGAAAAAAAAACATAATTTTGAATATTCTCAGCTGCTTTTTACATAAACACTACGAAATCAAACATAATTTTGAATATCCCCAGCTGCTTTTTACATTAACTCTACGAAATCAAACATAATTTTGAATATTCTCAGCTGCTTTTTGCATGTACTCTACGAAAACAACCAACGTTTTTAATAATGCTCAGCTCCTTGCTAACTGCACCGATTTCTTGTTTAGTTCGTTGTCACACATACTTAAATTTTGAAAACCGGGAACCGCTGTTTCTATTACCTACAGCTTAACATTTGTAATGTATCAATAAAATCATATTTGAAAGGAAAATAATAGGGGAAGTATACTTACCATCTAGCAATACCAATAAGATGTTGCAAACAACATCAGTCGTGTAGTTAGTTTGACGACACATGCTCCTCGTCAATTCCCTCAGTATCTATTTCCGACACTATTTGAATCTCTCATACTATAACCAACTCTATATATAAACCTTACCTAAAACCTTTATGCTGCCCTATAACCCGAACCTTATCCTTGACGAAATAAAGCTTTTTCGTGTCATTTGTAGATGTTGGTGATACACTCCAACGCGGCGTCAAATGCCCTGGTGTATATTTCCGACACGAAGCGAACTTAGCTCTTATCTTAAAAACTTACCTAAAATCCCAATTCAGCCCTAACCCTAACTAAACTGGAAAAAATAAAGCCCATGTCAAATATCACTGGACCACACATCTGGTCACCTGACTGGTAAACACACGGAGAGTAACGACAGAAAAAAATTCTAAAATCCCAAAGGTTGAGAACATAGCGGACTGTGTTCGTTTTCAAAAGACGCGTCCTATTTTAAAAATGGGGTATAGGAGAATATAATGAAAACATAATCCACAGGTTGGTGGTCAAATCCCCCTTCTGCTAAGAGATTAATTGACAACGAGCACATTAATTATCAAAAGATTATTTAGCACACACAGCCATTTAAAAGTTCACCAACCAGGCAATAATTTCAATTTACACAACAACGTGAAGTAGGCGAGAGTGTATGATATATATATACATATATATATATATATATATACAGTGCGTCCCAGATTAAACGAAACCGAGAATTATCGATGTTTTATCATAACTTAATCACAATTGTAATCAATAAATGACACATATTTGGAAAGCTTAGATCCTCCTCTTTCATTTGATGCAACTCATAATCATGTATATTCCACGCATGAGTGATTCAAATCAATTTGAAGAGAGGAATCCGAAAAGTCGTTTGGCGGGCGGTATCTGAATTTCAAGGAGAAAATCAAATTTCTAGACAGGTGAGTTTCTGCCCTTTCACATGACACCTCATTCAGGAAAAATGAGCTAGGAATAACAAATTTCTGTTTGTTTGCATTTCCATAATTTGATTAAACGAATTCGTTTTCACTGGCTGCCTGCCGTATCAGCAAACGAACTTCACAAAAGACTTAACTCCGTTTCGTTGACAATCAGCCGTAGACGAAAGACTTCATGCCTGGCTAATTGTCAACGGAACAGAGTTAAGTCTTTTGTCAATTCTGCTTTTTGCTACAGCAGGCAGCCAGTAAAAACGAATTTGTTTGCTAAAATTATGAAAATGTTAGGGCTACTTTAAACAAACAGAACTTTGTCATTCCTTGCTCATTTTTCCTAATTGAGGTGTCTTATGAAAGGGCAGGAACTCAACTTTCTAGAAATGTGATTTTTCTCTTTGAAATTCAGACACCGCCCGCCAAACGACTTTTACGGTTTCCTCTCTTCAAATTGCTTTTAATCACTCATGCGTGAAATATTCATCATAATGAGTTGCATCAAATGAAATAGGAGGATCTAAGCTTCCCAAATATGTGTCATTTATTAATTATAAATATGATTAAGTTATGATGAAACATCGATAAATCTCGGTTTCGTTTTTTTCTGGGACGCACTGTATATATAAATTTATATCCATATACAGATATACTAAATTATTCATACCCTTTGTAAATATGATCTTTTTGTGTTTTTTCGTAATTCGATAATGAAATCTCCATTGGTTGAATAAGGGCTTTTATTGTAAACTTTTAGATGTAAGCTTGCATATGCCACAATCACGAGAAACATAAATCGGGACAAATCAAGTTTTCTCCATGTGTGTTGTCCCAAATACATTTTTCGTTGTAAGTGATTGTAACTTTACCAAGACTCTGCCAAATTTATGATGATTTTGATGACTCCAGAACCTTGCATTACACACCATTACTTACATGCTATATGATCAACTTTTCTGATCCATTCCACACTTTTTCTTTCACAATGCAATCGCATTACCAGAACTTAAGTTTATCTTTAACTGTATATAAATATATATATATATATATATATGCATTTATAAAGATATCAATATATAAAAAATATATATGTTAAATATATGTATATTTATTTATATACATTTTATATATGTTAAACTTGTCTAGTCACTATTTTGTATGATAATCGAGCAGAAGACAAGGTTGTATTATTTAAATACCTCATACCATCATCTTCATTTACTCTTCCATTCATATTAAGTTATTGTTAACATACCGAGTTTTTCTTCCTTTACTTTGTGTCGTTCTCTCTCTCTCTCTCTCTCCCTCTCTTTCCTTCACAACATTTACCTTTGTTTAGCCCGAACGTTTTTGCGTCTCACTCGGTCTGGGACATTTTTTCTTGCCCAGCTTTCTCTCTCTCTCTCTCTCTTTCTCTTTATGTGCGTGTACGCATAATCCTTAAGTGCGAATAGAAATATATTTTGTTAGAAAGCGAGACTAATCCCTATTATATCCTGCATCAAAAAATGTATTTTTGTTTTATTGTTGAAAGCTCTTTACGTGACCAAAAATAAACATAATATTTTTCCAACAGTGCTATATACGGTAGTAACCTCAACTAGAAGTACTATTTATGGCAAACAATTTGTTTAATTAAAACTGCAAAATGTTAAATTGTTAATTTGTTCATATTTAATTAAAACATGAATTTAAAAAGAAATTTGAAAAATACATTTTTGATGCAGGATATAAAACAAATGTACCCTGTCTTCTTTTCGGGGTACTGGTTAAAACTATATGAGCCTTAGTGACTACAATAGTACCATTTGCGTCCCTCAGCAAATAGTACTATTGTAGTCACTTTTTGCCCATAGTTTCAACCAGAACCTCTCAACACAGTGTATACTGTATATGAATGTAGGTGTAGGTTGAATAAGCACAGGTGTAATACAATAAGGAAAACTGAAGGAGTAAATCGTCAACTACCAAATTTTAGTAGTTAAACACTGATATAATTTCGAACCGCCCGATGTAGAGATGTACATATACAAGACTACATTAAAAAGATATGATTAGCAGCTCAAAGACATTAAATGAAAACAAATGTCACAATTGTTCAGTTTTAAGCGGTTTATTTTTTGTTCTATTTTCTTCAAACGGCTAATTCAGCAAAAACACAATAAATAATGATCCTTCGTATATACAAAATATATGCATCCTGTCCCCATGAAATGCGCCAAGGCGAAAAAGAAGGAGTACGCCAATATACATCAATATAATTTTTTTCCAGGTTCCGTCGAAAAGAAATTGCCCCAAAGGAAACGTTTTAGCCTTTTTTTCTTCATTAGTTATTTTATATTTGTATTTTTTTTTAATTATCTGTTTGGACATGCTGATTCCAGCAGATTTTTTTCCTCTTCTTTACAACAATTGTCATGCTTTTCATATTTTGATTGACTTCTCTGGTTGATAAATGAAAGTGTCCTTCACGCATGTAGTCGACAGGAAGAATTAATATCCCCAATATTGTCATATCACTTAACTGGCAATATTTTCATTGAATTGGTCTTAAGCCCCTTGCCTAGCCTAAATTACTTTTTTCCTCGAAGCCTAATTAATCACAAGCTTAATCACATTCATACTAGACGAAAGTGGTGAAATCAAGGCTTTACGCAGTTTTGACAACTGAAGCAATTCTTTCCATTAAGGCAATAAATCACACTTATATTATTGCGATGAAAATCATACAGAAATCTAAATTACAATACCAGTCAGAGAAGGAATACGAGTTTTAAACTCGTTAATCTCGTACAGAAATAAAAATGTTATTTTGATGAAATTTTCTCTTTTTTAAAAATTTTATATTGAAGTATCTATTTTGTGTAGACCCTTTTTTTCCTACGCAATTATTGTCAAACAAGTAACGTGTCTAATCGTCAAAGTATGCGTTATTTCTGTCACAGTTTTCAAAAAATCTAAGTAAGAAAAAAAATCCCAACTACTAGTTACCAGATGAATGATTACACAATGTTTTTGTTTGTTTTACTAGTGGCCCGATGATATGTACAAATGCATTTAGATAAGGCGGACCACCATCTTAAAAAATGAGTAGGTCTAAGTCCTATAAATTTTTAAGAATGACAGACATTAACAATGTTTCAAGTTTTACAAATCTGAGATGCATGGCCCTACGTGTAGATACGGTGTAATATTGAAGCCCTAAAAAAATGCGCTTCAAAGTGATCATGAAGTGCTTCAAAAAAGCAAACATCTTTGAGTGACCGGTTTTACCATACTCATTTTCTCCAACAGACTGTAGTGTTATAAAAAGCTTTTAAAAATAAAGAGACTCATTTGTGTCCTAAAGGTGTATAAATATGATTACAGCATGCGCTAAATCCAGGATTTTGTTTAGAATCAGAGGCAAAGTTACCTAATACCTTTTAGAAGTTGATGGTTTGAAGTAATGATTAATGAGTAATGATTAGATCGACAACAGAAGTTAAAAGATTCACGTTATATCCCCAACCTAATCTTATCTTCTATATGATCTTTTTTTAGAGATAAATTGTAATGACCAAATTGCATAAAAATGCTACCAACCAGTAGAAACCGACGGTGGATATCATCACAATATGGTTTCTGAAATTTGTAGGTTACTCTTTTCACTCGGTCGCAAAATTCAAAAGTATTGAAGTTGGTATTTAACATTGGCCTCCTGGCTTATATGTGCCCATGTTCCTTTAAACAGGTCTGTAACAAGTGCCAATGCTCCGTCGACATGGAGTTTACAAAGCCTAAGACTAGTTCATGTGGAATATATTCCACTATAATCAATTACAAATTGAATTGAATTGTTAATAATTACGCAATATTTAGATGTGTACATTTAAGAAACAAAATATTTTTTGAATAACTGCAAACCTTACAGGATATCTTTTTCATCCGAACTGAGAAATGGTCAGTGAAAATATAATCAACAACCAGTTATGTTACTTTTTCAAAATATCTTAAATTACAGCGTTAAACTACGACTTTAGGGAATCTAATTCTGTTATCATTACCTGTGATGGTAGCATAATCATATGCTTATCTGCTAATCTTTCACGTTTCTTTTCATTTACAGATTAATTTCATAAATAGAACCACATTACAGGTATTTATATACCGCATTCCGGTAAAATATAACAATAAAACCTTCACCTTTCCTTTCCATAAGATTCAATCAACATAAATATTGATAAAGATATTATTCAAAGAAAAAATCGAGGGTTTGATTTAGATTATTAATTTCCTTTATGGTATTTTCAGTTTGGATTTGTCTTAATTTCAGAGAGGCTCGTAATATAAGCATCCATCACGCTGGGAGAATGAGCTAGAACTAGCCCCATCTTTTGTTTCAGCGTTCAGCTCGCATTTACCATCTCTGTAATTGAATGACATGCATCCGGATTCCTTTTCGCATTCAGCGGCGCAATGCAGTTTATCCTTCATATATATTGTCTTCATCACGTGATCTGAAAGACAGTAGTCAATCATAGGGCTTCCATTGTTGTCTTTTGCCATTGAGTAGAATCCTGATCGGTTTCGATATTTGGCTTGCTGTGGAGGCGGAGAAGGTGTTGTATCTGGTATCGGGTCAACTGTTGCAGTACCAAAAAAGAACGAGTAAAAACAAATGCCTCATAAATTCAATGTTTTGTAACATATTGTAAGAGTATATCCATTACTAAATACTTCTTGTTAGTAGCAAATGAAATTACGTCGATCATATTAACACAAAAACATATCAAGGGTGATTATCAAAGGTATAAATGTAATGATATCATACTTGTAAAGGACAAAATATTTTGATCAAAGACCCAACTTTAACAGAATAGTCGTATCTCTAAATCTCTCAGCATTTACTGGCAAACCCATTAGTGTAATAACGATAAAATCTTTGAATTCTTTTTAGGTTGATAGCTAATTTCGAAAAATAAAATTCGCATTTCGTGATGATGAATTATGTGATCCTATCAAGTTTCAATTTAAGACAATACAACATGACTTTTACAATCTGTAATGGATAAGCCATAACCAACATTAAACCTGTATAATGCTTTGAATTTGGTACTTCTTAATTGTTGATCAAACATTGCAGTCTCACTGTCTAGTGAATACGTCACAATGAAGGACACAGTACGGGGTTCGAATCCCTGCCCAGGTATAAATGTCCTTGGGCATATCAAGTTAGATTTGCCACTCTTCATCGACGTGTGATAAATAGTGCCACATAATTCTTATCACTACCCAATAGAAGTAGTAGATATGAGTTTGTGTAAATAATTAATGGGTTTAAGTCTGTATTTGTCCCATAAACATCTGTATAAAGAGTTTGGCCAATGTTGTTCTCATTGGACATAACATAACGAGATGTATATTGAATATCTAAGTAGAAGTGGTCAATATTTAACATATCATTACCCAACAAAATTTGAACACTGCATTTTCATATAATGACAATTGAGCGAATTTGGGCAATGAGGTGAAATGTATGGGGTCATTGACCTATTATAGAATAGAGAACATAATCTAAATAAAAACATCATTATTCTTGATACTTGATCTGATCTAGGCTATGGACGGATTATAAGCTTAATACAGTCATTAGGTTTACTGCAATCGTTGATCCAGTCGGTAGCCTCGTATGGAACAAATTACATTTAACTTTCCCATTTAAAGTAGTTACCTTCGCATAGAGCAAGGGTTGGGTATGAGTCGCCACAACTAGAAGTTGACAAGCCATGGCTATTGTATAGATAGTTAATACAGTTTCTGCCACTCCCGATGGTTGGTTGTTGTGGATCAGTAAGCCACAAAGCTGAAACAATGAATGATAAAAATACATTCGATTGAATTTAATTTCGGTTCGTCTTTGCATTGTATAAATATAACATCCAGGGTCGATTGTATATATATTTTTTTTTAAAGCAGACAATAATGATGTATACTTTTAGTTATCAACCGACCCCTTTAGCCTGGGTCTCTGGTTTGTTTTTAAACACCAATATAATAAAAAGATAAAGAAGAAAACAACATACACAAATCCAACTCACAGTAAAACATATTCGGTATAAACTGAAATGCCTAACATGACAATAATGTGTCCGACCAACTTTGACCAAATCTTTGCTGAACTTGGGTAAAGATTTTTCAGATCAAGATCATCTTTGATTACAAATTGAGCAAAGAAAATCTCAAGAGTGGAGTATAGAGTGGCCAAAAAGTTGGTTCCACACATAATTGCCCTCATGTTAGGCGATTTTAAACCCAATACTTGTTTACAATGCCTAATATACATAGGCCTACAGCAGAGCGCATTTTCACTATCAATTTTTTTTTTCTTAGCAGGCTTAGATACACCTCCTTAGAATTGAAACAAAAACAAAAACAAATAAGAACTCAACAAAGAGCTTCAAATTTATGGTAAACACCTCTTTGGGAGACAATTTTTTAAAATAATTTATCAAAAGCTTCGAAATATTTCATATGCTTTAGATTAATGTCCTCGCCGATATGTTTTATGCATTTTCCTACGGAATTTGTAAAGTGGTGTCATACCCGCCCTTCCACCCTTACTTTATACTCATGCCGATTATGCTGTTTTTAGTGTAACATCATTTAATTGTAAACAACAAGTGTGCGCAGGATCAATGCATCGCCATTTTAGTTCAGCTAGAACGTATCAATAGTAATTTATTGCATTTTCCTTGTTTACCTGGATCTGCCCTCACTGTTGTTTTTACCTTCCCATGAATGAACAAATTAAAGAGAGTCGCCTATATGTTATTTGTAGCTTACCACTATCTACTTGTGTACCGTCTTCACACTCGAAGGTTCCCTCTACGGCCTGGTCCGTACAACCAATCCATATCCACCCGGCACTAGCAGCAGAAATGTATGGACTCGCGTACGTATAACCAACTTCGTACATCTCTTCTTCACTGTTGAAAACAACAAGTTTTCCACTAATAGCGGCACAAGATGATGACGCGTCTGAATAAGACATCGTGTCTTGCGTGGATGCAAACTTGTAACATCCGGGTACTACACTGTCCCATCCAGTGGGACATGCCGCTTCTGTGTCAAAATATAAACAAACAAGTAATCTATATTTAGAAGAGTGACAGAGTATTTTTTTTGCGTGAATGTCGTCATTACGATCTGATTAAATTTGTTAAAGGGATTGGGTATCTTTAGCTCAGATTCAAAACAAAATCCTGGATTTAGCTCATGCTGCAATCATCATTATAAACCTTTAGATCAGTCAGGAATCACATGACGTTTACAAACCGATCGCCTGTCTGATTATCAAGATATTTATGATCAGAATTTAAAATGTCTAAAAATTAAAATTTAAAATTTAAAACAATACAGTGTATTTGGGAAAATGAGTATGGTAGAACCGGTCACTCAAATATTTTTTTCTTTGTTAAGGCATTTCATGATCATTTTGAAGCGCAATGTTTTTAGGGATTTAATATTACACCATTGTAACGGGTGAAATCCTCCACCCGTCTCCCAAGGTCCTTAGTTCACTCAACAGACGACAGGGTTATACAAAGTGGTTCGATTTGAATGAATGTGGTGGTGGTGGTTACTTTACCTGACTGCTAAGAAAGCCTAAATGCTTGTACGTAAGCAACCAGGAGGCAGACGGCCTTAGGTCCTCCCCGAGGGACCTGGTAATGAGGATTAATGCCTTACCAAAGGGCAATAGCACATCGGCTTGGTTTCGAACCCGGGTCACCGGATCAAGAGACCACTGCTCTACCAATTGAGCAATCGCGCCTCATCAGGGACTGATCTTATTCAATCGTCATTTCGAGCTTCGTTCTCAAACTCCAAAACTCAACGAACTACCCCCTGTGACAACTACCCCCGGGCAACTATTCCCCCCCCCCATAAGCTACCCTCGGACAACTACCCTCTAGGACAGCTAACCCCCGGACAACTACCCCCGGCTATTCTATGGGGTAGTTGTCCTAGGGGGTAGTTTACTGGAGGTATTTGCCCGGGGGGTAGTTGTCCGGATACGATTGCAGAATGTTGCCCTCTGATTTAATACATTAGTCTACGGGGAAAACCCGGAAGAGGGCAATATGACAGATATTGCCCGCTCTGGTTTCTTATTCGGAGTAGCATGCAAAATACGACTTTTTATTTTACAGCTAAAATGCCTTGTATGGGTAACAATCGAACATATTTCACGTACCGGTATTCCTTAATAATCTTATGTCTCGTCAAACAAAATGTTAAAGTATCATATATAGATGACGTTCCCTTTTATATAAAAACAAAAGACAAGATTCTCTTATCGGGCTCATAGCAACCAGTTTTGTTTCATGTTTTGTATCTTGAAGCTACCTTATTGTCCATTTTACATGGTACGACGGATGGGCAGCGTTTCACGAAATCGTCGTATTAACAAGTTCACCGGTTTCCTATTGCAACGAGTGTTAAAATTATTACATGTATTTCAATAGGATGTGGTGAACTTGTACATATGACGGTTTCATGAAACGCTGCCATATGGTCTCTCTGAGGCTGTTCACACCGCAATGAGAAAGCGCGGTCTATCGTAGCATCCCTTTTTTCTAGAGCGTGCTACACCGCGCACGCCGTTTTGGCTCGCCGTGGCTCGCTGTTGGGCGGACCGAAACGACGTTGTACCTTCCAAACCGCAGAGATAGCGCGGTCTAGCGGGCGCTATCTCTGCCGGTGTGAACAGCCTCTCTGACACTCATCAGTGGTGTTCACGTTTAGGCCCACCCGAGATTAAAGAGAATTGATAATGAAAAAACTAACTTTAATGTCATTATTGCAAATGTGACACTTTGATTGGCCAAGGTTATCAGAAGCCAATGCTTGGAAACATTCGAAGTAATGGTTATTAAAAATTACAAAACCCTTATGGAGCTCTCACACTCTGCCGTGTAGGCCTACCGTCCACCTGCCGGGCTATTAAAAAAACAACAGAGTCCAGAACGTTGGGTTTTGAGCGAACTTGTCCCCGGCCGCAAAAAAAAAAATCATAAAATTAATCTTTTCACCGTTTCGTTGCCATCTTCTGACCGTTCTCACCGGGCGCATACCGGGTGTTGAACGTGCTTCTACCGTCTTCACCGCCCAGATTGACTTTTGTTGAAAATTTTGGCCGTTTCCATACCGGGCCCATACCGGGTCTCGAACGTGTGCACCGGGTTTGTAGCAGCCACCTACCAGTCACTTAGCGTCCACTCACCGCTCGGAGCGTCCTGTGAGCGAGTCCCCGGACTGCTGACGTCATGACACGACTGCCATAAATACCCCGATTTGAACGGCAACGGTCAGTCCGCTCTCCATTTTTCATCACCGTTCTGTAACGGGTTATGAGCGTGTTGTGAACGTGTTCATACAGTGTGACCGTTTTCATAACGTATTCATACCGTCCTCATACCGTTCAACACCGTCCTCTTGCCGCTTACTTGCGGCCGGTGCCAGCCGGCCAAAGTTTTGAACATGCCCAAAACTTTCGCCGGGTCCCACCGGGTGTAAATAAGCGCCAACGCCCTATGAACGTGTTGCCCGCTTTGATAACGAACCACCGTGTGCCCTCGCCGTTCTCCACCGTCCGCAGACATTTTCGCGCACGGTGGCACACGGTAGGCCTACACGGCAGAGTGTGAGAGTCACTTTAGATACACCCCCGACATAGCACCTGAAAAGCTCTCCGGTCGCTGTTGAGATATGACGTCACACGTTGAACATGATGTGCACAAGCAGACGATGTCCCATGACATCTCACACAATTACAGTGCCTGTTTTGTCATCTTTTCTTCAGTTATTTCTCTTACTTCAATACCCTCGGGCGAAATGTTTAATCTGTTGCCTCACTCTAAACCCCGTGCATGGTATTACTTTGATGAAAAATGCAAGGGTAAAAAAATAAGGAATCCGTCGCTTGTAAACAAAATAAGACGACATTGAATTTTCACCTGCATACACCGCGGCATGTTCGGCGTTTCAAGAGGGAACACGTGACGTTCATGCTATCATTCCGGAGGTTTTTTAATTTGAAAGTGTGGTTTCTTTGATTGTTCATTAACCCCTATTCTGTGTATTTACAAACTAAAGAATTTAGTTATCAGAATGGGGTCATATCCCTTTTTGAATGGTGTAAAATTCCGTCACATTTATGTACACTAAGCTCATTATAATTTGAGAAATAAGAGCAATGCAATTATGTCCATTCTTTATGGGATATCGTCTGCTTGGGCAGGGTTGGTTCATATTGTGACAGCATTAAAACATCGTTATTTTTCCGGCGAATCTCTCGCTCATCCCAGATGCTATGGAGGTTGTTTTATTTGTATTTTTATAAAACACCCGATATGTAGTTGACCTAAAACTTGCATGATGACCATCTGTTAGCTTACCAGTTTCTAGTATAGGATTTCTAGGCGAAATTCGCGAGTTTGTCATTCAAATTCATTTACTTTGAATTGAAGTTAGCGCAGATCGACTTTGCCACGCCAATTATCATTCAATTTTCCCGTTCTGGTATTTAATTAAGGATTTGGGTCGAAGGGTTTCATAGATCTGTCATTTAATTTAGAAACTGCTCAACTAGCATTCAAATTAATCGTCACTTGTCGAGGCGTCATTTTTATCATTCAAATTAACCCCTGTCATTCGTATTTGAATTATGTTTATTCAAGTTAGGAATGTTAGGGGGAAGAAATGCAACACAAATCTACAGTTTAAAAATATGCAATTAAATGCATGATTTGCCATTAGGGTCGTTTCTGTTATTCCATTTATTAATTTTGAGGGCAATGCATATTGGTGTAGTCAGACATTAGGTAAAGAAGGGGCGAAATCAAGGGATACGGCATTTCTGCACGGACATGTTCATATACCCCGGAAAAGTGGGGGTACAAAAATACCTACCCCAGTTTACCCTTCCTCCATAATGAAATTGTGATCAATTTATAATGAAACACAAAACAAACGACTTCCTTACATGAAAATTTACAAAAATATTGAGACCATCATGTCCGTAGATGTAAGTCTTATTTTTCTTCTTGACAATCAAACTTAAAGAATGATGAATATCAGATAAATCTAAAAGTATATAAAGTGTATAAATGCATGAAAATAAGATATGATGAAATACACATGGAAAAAAACAATCTTAAAAGAAAAAAAATGAGCTATGAAAAGTGTGTAATAAACGAGAAATTGATATTGACCATCAATGTAAGTGCACAAAGTGCTAATTTGAATGCTACAAATGAATTCGAACGCTAAAAGTACACCTTCGCGATGTCAGAAATCGTGTTGCGCCAAATCGAATGACCAAATAGCGAAAGAAGCACATTATTCATTAATTTGAAAGAAACATACATAGATTCTAACGAAAACGTCATAGATTTGAAAACTAGAAAAAGGAATATAAACCCAAGGTATATCTGACAGCACTAGAACCGTCGAATCTGAACGCAAGACAAATTAATTTAAATGACAAACTCGCGAACTTGGCCGGAAAATCCTATAATAAGCTATTTGCCATATTTGTGATTTTCTATGAACCCGCACTTTAACAAAAATCATCTTCTAGACAGGGCCGTGGAAAGTGTGATGGAGCAGCAATTATCCTTATCCCAAAAAATTGTAAGATTTATAAATCTATAACAATATTTATACTCATGTACACAGGTGCAACCATCGTAACATAAATCTCAAACACAGTTTTCTACTTTCCGGTTTTTATTTTAATGGCATTAAACATGAAGCCGTTACTTAAGCTTTTCTTTCCAAATTTGTAATATAAGAAATCATGTGCAATGATTATTTTTCCTTACGACTGACTGACTTTGCTGTCATTTTGATATTAATAAGCTTTTACGTAATACCCGATTGTGTTGTCTTTTTGTTTTCTTCAAACATAATTTATTCAGAATTCTCAACGGAAATTATTAAACAAAAATATCATAAGTCCACAAAACAAAATAATTAATGTGATGGCAATAAGCAGTACACATTAATGCAAAACAAACATAACATAATAAGTGTTAGGCCTACAAAAAATGTTTCGATACAAATTGTACATCTCTCCATTTATCGAGAAATTTAAAAACGGTCTTGTTTTTACAAAATTATTTGTTCAAAGTCATAATAATATTTCAACTGTTTCTTAAATAATTCAGAAGATAATCTACTATTTTTACATTTTGTAGGGAATAAATAGTATTTTGCATGTAAAATTTTAAAAAAATCAAGTAACAGAAATTTCGAATGTATTCATGGTCAATATCTGAAGAAAAAAAAAGGA